CAAGATATATTATCCAACAAAATTATGAAGGGAATGGAAGTAGATAGATTGTGAAGCAATTAGTCAACCTAACCTAACCTAAATGGGATGATGGCCACGGATTTAAATTTTAATGTAATGAAAAAGATACTCTTACAGGATCGTATCCTTTTTAAAAAATTTTTCTTTACCAAATCGCAATGTGATCGCCATATGCCCTCAATTGCTATACGATTTCCATTTTTGGGATCTTGAATTGACACTAGCCCGTCAGCCTAGAACTTATCTCAAGGGAGAAGTCGGAAGGGGCTGCGATCACCACTTCGAGAAATAACACAACCCGGAAACTTTTTCCTTAAAATATCGATTTTTTCGTTACTTTTGTGGATCTAGTCCATCCATCATTTATCATCTCTCGGTAGCGCAATCCTTTCACGGTAACTGTTGCTCTAGCCTTATTTTCAAAAAAGTAAGGTCAAATGACCCGCCGCCGAACTATAAACCACACCAAACAGTTACAAATTGAGGATGGAGAGGCTTTTCAATAACAAACCACGGATTTCCCGAGCCCCAGATGCAAAAGTTTTGCTTGTTGACGTATCGATCGAGGCGGAAATGAGCCTCATCTTTCACGATGATTTTGTGATGAAATTCCCTGACATTTTCACGAATTTCATGGAGCCAATCAACAAAGACACGACGTTGCTTATGATCGACCGGCTTGAGCTCTTGTGTTAACTGAACTTTACAAGCCTTAAGACCCAAGTCTTTATGCAAACTACGGTGTAATGACGTTTGTGGAATGCCCATTTTCAAAGAACGATGAGAAATGGTCAAACCTGGAGTTTCTTCAACGCTTTGGGCTACAGCAGCAATATTCTCAGTTGTGTTTTATTATTCTTCACATCAATCATTTCTCTCAACAGCATCATTTTTCCACCTATTACTGTGTTGCCATCCGACAAGTTGCTTCACGATGAACGAAAAATGTTTTAGTGTGACAAATCATCTCTGGCAGTTTTTCCCAATTTTTATAATGAATTTCAGGGCGCTGTTGCTGGCGTAGTTTTTACTAGTCAAATTTCAAAAAATGACAGCTTCAAAGGTGGCATCACCGTTAAAATAACACCTCTTATTGGAAAACGCTTTATTATGTCCTTGAGTGTTTTCTCATATTTTCGGAACTTTTACCGATATATATATGTACGTGTATGTATGTAAGTGCATATTCTAATTGAGGATTGCCTGCTTTATACTCTAATATCTCTTTCCTTTGTAACGTAATAATTTTGTTTTTAATTAAGTATCAGTGAGGTGATAAATTGTTCATGAAATCCTATGCTGCTATGGCTAATAATAACGGTTTAGTAAAATATATTATATTAAATGTTATTATAAATACATATATATAATATATGTTGTCCGCAAGTGATTAATGAAAATCGCATATTCACCTTGGATTAAAATTAAAATGAAACTTATGAATATACATATATACATATATATATATTTGTACATTCTATGTGTAGCGCATCCAGTATAAGTGGATGTGTCTGTACAGCTTACACGCTTTCACAGTTAATTTAACATTATCTATCCACATACAAGTACATACATACATAGTGTGTATATTAAAATTTGCTGTTGCTTTTCTTAAAGCTTTGTTTTTTCAATTATAAATTTTTCTCTTCTCTACTTGAGTGAGTGTTCTTTGACCCCAGCTCACCGGTGGGTTAATGTGTTACGGTCACGGTGTCATAAAGAGTGATTAACACTAATTTTAGTAGAGATTTAAAGTGAGTAAGCTATTTTAATTTGGAGTAAAAATAAAGGAAATTAAACAAAAAAATTATAAAGTAATAAAAAGTTGACCATTAATTCATAAAAATGTGACTGACTGCCCTTGGCATGCAAACAAATCTTTTAATTTATATATTATATTTTTTTTTTTGATAGAGTTAAGCTGCGATTTCTTCGTCTTTAATTTAATAATTATGGTACTTTCAGTTAAGTTAAAATTAAATTTATTATTTTATAGGAATTTTCCTTTTCATTGTCGTAGGCACCACCTACGCGATAATAACCGAATCAACAGTAGCGGCCGATTCGTTCCTTCTCTTCACTGCTTGGCGCCAGTTGGAAATACCTAATGAAACCAGTTCGTTCTGCAACTGATCCTTCCAACGGAGTGGACTTCCTCCAGTTCCTCCGCTTCCACTAGCGGGTACGGCCTCGAATATTTTCAAAGCTGGATTGCTTTTATCCTTTCGGACAACATAATCCAGCCTACGTGGCCGCTGTCTATTGATTCACTGAGCTATTGTATATCAATGTCGCGTATAACTCATGCAGCTGATCGTTCGACCTTCTAGAGTATTCGATAAAGAACTCTAAAGCATTTGTAAAATTTTCCTCTCGAAGACACCACAAACTGACTCATGGGATATAGCGATCGTCCGCACTATGATATGGATGAGTGCATAAGTTCGTGCCCGATTTCAAATGCAAACTAAAATTGAAATTTTTTAAAGAATGTATTCGCCATCATGTTCGGCAATCCACTCCCAAAGTTCAACCATTCTGATTCATAGAAATCGCGCGGTTTCTCGTTGAAAAAGGTGTCAAGGTGGTTTTTGACGTCTTCCACATTTTTTAATTTTTTCCATTCAAATTTTTCTGCAGCGATCGAAAAAAATGATAATCAGAAGGTGCAATGTCGGGTGAATATGGGGGATGCGGCATGATTTCCCAATTCATCTCCTTCAGTTTGCCCAGGGTCGGTTTTGCAACATGTGGCCTGGCGTTGTCATGATGGAAAAGAACTCCTTTGCGATTGCCCCTTCCGCCCCTTCGTGTGCCTGTTTCCATGTTCTTTTGCGTTGAACATTGTTGTACAGGATCCATTTTTCATCACCGGTCACGAGCCGATCCAAGAAAGGTTCGTTTTTGATCCGTCGAAGCAAAGAAATTGCTGTTGACATACGGTCCACTTTGTTTTTTTCACTCAACTGATGTGGCACCCATGTATCGAGCTTCAAAGTGTGACGAAACGCAGTTGATTTGTTGACGTTCAATTCACTGGCAACCTCTTCCGTCGAAATACGTGAGTTATTCGCAACTAAAGTCCTGGTTAGTCGAGAGCTGACCTAACTTTTCCATTGCCCACTCAGTCCTAAGTAGAATCTGTGGGCAAGAGTTATACTGCGTTGGATTTCTTCAACAATGGCATTGCTATTGATGTTAATGCTAGCCCCAAGATAGACGAAATTATCCAAAATCTCGAAGGTCAATAGTAACGTTCGAGATGAGTCGCGAATGCGATGACGGCTTATCTAATAACAGCAGATAAATCATCTTTCCCTCGTTCCCTACCAGACCTATTCGTTTTGCTTTTTTATACAGCCTGGAGAAAGCTGAACTCACGACGCGCTTATCGGCGTACGCCAGCAGTTGTACACTCTTGTAAAAGATTGAACCTTGTCTAATTAGCTCTGCAGCTAATTTTATTTTCTCCAGCATTAAATTGAAGAACTCACACGATAAAGGGTTAACCTGTCTAAAACCTCGTTTGGTACAGAACGGCTTAGAGAGGTCCTTTTGAATCCAGAAAACGCTTCTTCTATTGCCCAACATTAGCATACGCAGTCGTATAAGCTTTGCGAGAATACCAAATTCGGACTTAGGGCATGGAGACAAAGTTTGTGGCGGTGTTTTGTGGCGTTCATCTTTTCACGGGTCTGGTGAATATTGGTTGACTTACCAGGCCTAAAGCCACACTGATAACGTCCACTGAATTTGTTGACGGCAGGTTTCAGTCTTTCACACAATACGCTCGATAGTAACGTAAATGTGATATTGAGTAGGCAAAAAACACAGAATACTCTAATTTAATTGGGAATGTTTACTATCATACGAAAGAACATTAATTCGAATTCATATTTTGAAGATTATCTCTTTCAAATGTTGACCGCGGCCAAGTCTCAGATGGTCCATCCGTTGACTTCAAATTTTAAGCATTTCAACTGGTAACTGGCGAATGACACGCGAGATGGTTTGCCCCAATGCCTGAATCAACACCGAATTGTCCGCATAGACTTGAGGCTTTACATATCCACACAGGAAAAAGTCTAACGGTCTAACAGTGTGATATCATGATCTTGATAGCCAATCGATCGGCCCAAAACGTGAAATGATCTGCTCACTGAAGTGTCCTATCAATGAATCCATTGATTGATGCGATATGTGTGAAGTGGCGAAGTCTTGTTGAAACCAAATGTAGATGAGATCACGAGTTTCAATTTTAGAGATCAAATAATCGGTTGTCACGGCTGAGTTATAATTTTTTTATGAAATATGGACCGATCATTCCACCAACCCACAAACCACAGATTTATTTTTCTCTGGATGAAATGATAGCTCTGAAATCTCTTCAAGTTGCTTTTCGTCCAAATGTTTCAATTTTGCTTGTTTACATTCCTTTTAAGCCAGAAATGGGCTTCATCGCTGAACGAAATTAGACTAGAAAACCTCGGATCTTCTTGGAACCTTTCGAGAGCCCATAGAGCGAAATGATGTCAATTGGGAAGGTCGAGTTGCTTCAGTTCTTGTACAAGCTGTTTTTATACGCTTTCAATTTAAGATCTCGACGTAAACTGCGTCAAGTCATTCCATGGGTCAGCACGAGTTACCGAATCGGCTCTCCACGGCTTGCGTGTACACTCTCAGCTACGGCCGTTATATTTTCTTCACTGCATGCTGGAGGTGGTCTATTTGGTCGTATATTATTCACAAATGATAGCTGGGTCTCAAGATTGGTGATGGCGTTGCGAACAGTATGCTCAGTTGGTCGATTATATTGGCCACAAGTTGAGCGTAGAACGTGAATTTTCGAAATAAAGTTGAACGATTTGTAAATCTGGTTTAGGCGTAAGTCTTTCGATGATGAAATGACAATCGACACTGCAAAATAAGTACTTCAACTTAGATCGGCCGTTCCAAATGCTGATTAAAACCAATAAATGTTTTTTTTATTTATTTAATTTTGAGTTTTATTTATTTATTGCTTCTATTGCTTTGGTTTTCAACAAATATTTTTTGTTATTCTTTGGTATGATGCATAAATAATTCAAGTACATTGTAATTTTTAATTAAAGCACAGATTTCCCTTAGAGAGCTCTTATTGTATTAGACTATAATTTTATAATAATAATTTTATTTTTCTATATTTTTTTTCTATACACTTATGATACAATTTTGTGTTTTTACATATTTTTGGCGGCGGTTGCTCACTCAACCGTTGACGGTTTGGGAATATTCATTTGTCCGTACATATGTACATATGTATGAATAGACAAACGTGAGCACTTTTGCTCACTACAATAAAATTAGCTGCATTTCATTTGCGATATTTCTTAAGTAATTTATAAGTATGTAGGTAGGTTGAGTTATTTCTTCATTATTTCTTTTACATTTTTTTTTCTCTCTCTCAAATTTAGCTAATATCAATTGCTTTGAGACATAGTATGTATGGGTGTTTGTCTGTTTGTATGCGTGTTTAAATTGTGCAACAAGATTTTTACGTGCAATCACGTAAATTAATAAATAATTTATTAAATATTATTATGCATTTACCAACTATTACATAGTATATGCTTGTAAGTATGTATGGTGTATGTATGTATGTATGTTAGTGAGACGTTAATTAGGCGCTTGCAACCGCTTGAGCCTTCTTTTGAATCAAACAATCCAGTGCGCGTTGCACATCAACGAAAATATCATCGGCTGAGCGTTCGGCATTCAGCTGCAAAGCGAAATAAAAAAAATTTATTATAAATATGTAATAAAAATATAATAAAAATATTTCTTCATATTAATTTTTAATGAGTTACGACTTCAACATACCGTTATTGTCTTCTCAGTATATTGCTCCAGAATGGCATTGGTATTCGTTCTGAAGGTGGCCAGGCGTGTTTTGATGGTCGCTTCATTGTCATCGGCGCGCACCTCAGTTGAAGCAGCTGCACGGCCCATAATACGCTGAACCATCACTTCCTAAAAATAAGAAAGGTAAAAACAAAAATAATGACAAGTAGGAAGAAGCTGATCTCAAGTGTAACCGAACGGAATCAAACATTAGTTTCCAAAGTTCCCTGATGAAGGACAAGAAAGACGTTAGAAGGACTCAGGCGCCGAAAAAAGTGTGCGCATCAGCACTAAAGTACTATCCTGCGGCAAATCATGGTTTCAAGTTCTAATCTGAGCAGACCAACAACGAAACGACGGCTGCAATAGCCGAGGGATAGGCATTGTACTGCCATTTGAAAAGTCAGGGTTGAATCAATATAGAAAATTATACAAAAATTATTTTTCCAATTGCGGTGGTAAAGTCAAGCCCTCCGTGTGTCTTGCTGGCCCTTTCAAGAATTCATCGACCATTCAGAGGCAGCTTGGTATAAACTGTAGGTCCCTCTATTTCATAGAAAGCCATCAAGATGCGAACCCACAAATTGGAGGAGGATCTCTGCAGAAGTTCGCTTCAGCGATATAGAGCGTCAATTATATACTGGGTATAAGAGTACCCCCGCATTTTATCTGTGTAAGAAAGTATCAAGTAATGCAGCAGTATGCAGTCTGACAATGGAAATTACAGAATTTACGATGACGGATTCAAAATGGTCGAGGGGCGGACGCAGGAGCCTCATACACTGCCCAGTTCAGCTAACTCTTCAGGCTGTCATATTACTACAGGACTACCGTCTGGAAAATCAGCGCTATAATGAATAATGCGGAGCTTACCGATACCGCAGTAAGCAAAACTTACGTCGATGACAGTTAAAGCCTTAGTCTCACAACGTACTACGCCTGAAAATGTTCTTGGAAACAGGTAAGCGATGAATGGGGGGGGGGGGGGGGCTGCAGTAAAGCAACTGCATATGCATTGTGTTCCAGACTGCAAGGATATTGTGGGAAACCAATTATCTGATGAAAATGTCAAAGAAATCACTCTGGCTGCTGAGCAGGAAGAAGATAAACCAAAAAAGCTACAAATTCTGTATAGGGAAGACGGTTCAGGAATAGCCTAACTACCTGCAGGACTGCCAAGGCTATGTGTAAATACAGCGAAAGTGAATACAATCAATTTTTGCGCAGCCGCAGAACTATTCTCGGCCAAACGACCTACTGATATTCCCTGAGTGTAAACTGACAGTTCATGCAGAAAATGCAAGGAGCCAGGCATTAGCACAAAGCTAGGTAATCTACCGCCTTTGTGTCAACCCAGTATTGCTAACAACACGCCTCGGGCATCTCAAAGCATTGCAGCTAGGAGAACTGGAAGGAGTATCAAAACCAGATATCAGGACGCCCTTGAACTTCGCAAAAAAACTACTTTGGACCTCTTAAGCAATTGAAAAGTAATATCCTTTTTTGACGAAAAAACACCTAAACCTCACAAATCGGTTATTGTACCCGAGTTGCTACATGTTATGTGGGATGTAGAAGCGTGAACGAAGAGGAAGTGGAGTTAAAAAATAATGTTAGGATGACAAGTATAGCATAACGCTAGATAGTATCATGTCCACAATTGGTAAAGCAATTATCTAAATTTCGTTAGTAAAATCGCACGATTCGGTCAAATTTTCTGACACGAAGCTTCTAAAGGCAAAGGGGAACAAAAAGTTTCAGAAAAATTTCTATACGTATATAATTTTAGTTAAGGGATAATGGTTAGAGATCGAGCCAATCACAAACAGAGCCGAATATAAAATTGATGGTTTTAAGTGCGAGTGAGCTTCAAAGTCAAGATCTCTGTCTTCCCCGCAGTGAAGCTTAAAGGAACACTTAAGCTTCTAGAACGACTCCTATGCAGATCACACCACTAAACCACCGTGAGGCAGCGTGTATTGCTAGCATTGAACAAAATTGAAATTTGATATGAGAGAGAGAGCTCTGTATGGTTCTGTTCAGGACAAAAAGGGCAATTGGCGATCTTTAAAATGTTCGAAATCATTCGACATACTCGACCTATACCATTCCCCAACCCGCGTATTCGCCTCATTGAGTTCTAAGTGACTTCTGGCACTTCTTCAAACTCAAAATACGCTTCCGACATCCGTCAAAATTGATTGACGAAATTCAACGTGAATCGGCAAGCGCTTGAAGGTAATACCTGAAAGTAACTCTGTGGCATGCACCGAGAATAGGAGAAACGTTGACATAAATACTAATTTGAAGGGGTTGAATTGGATTTGGAAGAATAAATGAGGTTTTTTGATATATAAACAGATTCCCGGTTTTATTGCCAAACTTTGTGTGCTTCGTACCCGAAGAATGGACCTTTCGGCAAAGTTCTTTTTACAATTTGTGGTGAGAATCTTGATGTTTTTACAACAAATGGAGGGACTTACAGATCATTCCGAGCGGCTAATGGATTGAATTTAGATTTGGTAAGAAACACACTCGAAGGGTTTGACATTCCTTGCCGAAGGGTGAGCGTAGTTGGAAAAATTAACTTAATTTTTTATTAAAAACAAATAACAAAAAACTCCGAATCTGAACTCGAACTTCGGCCTTCCGAATAATACTAAGCACTGCTAACCACTCGACGATTGCGTTCGAAAATTAGGGGCTCAAGAAGTTAGCCATGGTAAGGCAAGCCCGTCGTATGGGGCTACACAAATCTAATAGTTCCTGCGACGGCCGTATCTTTATACCGGAGGACTCCGATATTTCTCCGGCAAAGGCCTATTGCTCTCACAATATTTTCGGGGTTACATCAACAACAACACTTAGCAAATAAATTAAATACTCACATCTGAGCAATCAAAGTAGATAATTAAGTCCGCTGGCGCAATTTGCCGTTCAAAAGCAGCGCCTTGATCCTTTTCACGCGGGTAACTGCAAACCAAAGATCAGGAAATTATAAATTTTTGCAATAAAAGAAAAAAAAAATTAGAAAACTAATTAAACTACACACCCGTCAATGAGGAAACCTTTCGAATCGCACTTATGATCAGCGATAGCTTTCGCCAACAAACACAAAACAGCTTCATTCGGCACCAATTTACCCTCCTTCATGATCGCCGACAACTCGCGCCCCTTATCAGAACCGGAGGCAACCTGCGTAAATCAAGGTTAAATTGAATAAATTATTGCGATAAATCAAATGTTGTTTATTTATATTTGTTTAATAATTACTTCTGCGCGCAGTAAATCACCAGAGCTGAGATGTGTAAAACCATATTTCTCAACAATTTTGGCGCATTGTGTGCCTTTGCCACAGCCGGGGCCGCCCAAAATCCAAACAATTGGTACGCCAACCTGAAAAATTGGGAAGGAAGATAGATTTAATGGGTGAGAGAAGCAATGCATAGATAAATATTTACATAGATATGTATGTATATATACAAATTTTATATATATATATATACGTCATTTAAGTACATACAATCACGACATCTCTTACAATACCAACGGATAAATTTATTTATTTTTACAATCAGGCAGGCGGGAGAGTAAGACAAGCGTATTTTCGAAATTGTTAGGTAAATACATACATACATAGGTATATTGCGTTTAGAACAATTTTTGGTTTTAATTGTTTTAATATTAAGCATTTTATTATAAATATACAGACGGTTAGCCAGGGTTAGCTGTGTATTATGAAATGCATTGAAAATTACCAATTCATGATTTTCTTCTAAATTTTTATTTTTTCTTTTATTTTTATTTTTTATTTTTTTTTTGTTTGCTTTAAGCACACTAAGCCAACATCCGTGCATTTTCAGTATTTTCGGAGCCAAACAAACGCTTTTCCTTTCATTTCAATTTTTTTTATCTATTTTTGTTTTTCAGAATCACATTACGAAACGTTTAGCTTAACCATTTTTGATGTGATTTTATTTCATTTACTTACACCGATTTGTGCTCTTCGGAGTTCAGCGGCTTTCGATTTGTCATTGGCTTCCTTCTTCATCGCCATTTGATGACACATAAATAACTGGACAAACACATAGTACATAGTGTAGTTGAAACAGATGCGAGTAAAATAAGTATGTATGTATGTATGTATAACAAAGATATCGTTGGAGTTTTTTTAATTAAAATAATAGTTTTACTATTTAGGGACTTTCTTTTAAGTTTATTGCGCTAGAAAATAAGAGTATAAAAAAAATAAAAACCGAATTTATAATAATAAAAATATATAAACTAAAAAAATATGAAAACCACAAAAAAATACATAAAATAAAAAAAAATATATATAGACAAAGATATAAGAATATAAAAATGAAAAATAACAAATATAAAAATTAGTAGGAATGAAAAATTTAAAATAAAATGACCAAATAACTACAAAAATAAAATAACCAAAACAATAAAAACTAATAAAAATAAAAATATACAAATTAATAAAAATTACATAAATTAAAAAAATAAAAATTAATAATAACATAATATTATAACATAATCGTATATAAAAAATAATAATAATAAATGAATAAAACAAAATAAAAAATTAAATAAATAATAAAAAGGTAAGGACAAAGGTATAAGAATATAAAACTGAAAATTAACAAAAATAAATTAAATTAGAATAAAATAAATTAATTCAAATACAAATATAAAACTTAAGAAAACTTACATGAGTTAAAAAATAAAAAAATAAAAAATACATAATATTATAACATAAGAAAACAATAACAATAAATGAATAAAAATAAACCTAATAAGCAAAAAAAATTAAATAAGATAGAATCAAAAATAAATAAATAAAATCAAAAAAATAATTTACACAAAAATAAATAATCTAAAAAATAAAAAATACAAAAGAAAAAAACAATATAAATAAATTAATAAAACAAAAAATTGTATTAATAAAAAAATAAAAATAAAATAATACGAGAAAAGTTAATAATAATTATTAAAACAAAAACAAAAACATTAAATGATAATAAATATAATTAATACTATAAATAAATAATAATAAAAACAAATAAAAATAAAATAATATAAAAAATAATGACAAAAATAAAAATTAAAAAAAAAAAATAATTAATACTCTAAATAAATAATAATAAAAACAAATAAAAATAAAATAATATAAAAAATAATAATACAAATAAATATGTATATAAATATATATATATAAACTAAAAAGTATAATCTATATAAAAGTAAAATACACAATAAAAATAAATGAAAATAAAATAACATAAAAATAAAAAAATTAGGAATCAAAATAAATAAAAAAATAATAAGAATATTAAAAATAATTATAAATAAGAAAATAGAAAAATAGAAAAATAAAAAATTATAAATAAATAAAAATATAAAAAAAATTAAATTGCATAAAAATAAATAAGAAAAATGTAAAAATGAAAACAAATAAAAATAGAAATATATTGACAAAGCAAAAAATTTTATTAAAGAAAAATATTAAAAAAAAAATAATAAAAATAAAAAAAATTAAAATCAAAAAAAAAGGTAAATATCAAAATAAAATAAATATAAATAAAAATATAATTTAAAATAAATAAAATAGGAAATAGACTATAAATATTTCACGAAAATTTCTGCTTAATTGGCATTAATTGTGAAGTAGTTAAAAATTTTGTTTATTTGTTAAATTATATTTTACTAAACTATTACCATAAATACAAAAAAAAAAAAATTTAAAAAAAAACAAGAGGAGCTGCAGTCTTTATACTTTTCATAACCAAGTCGATTTCATGGCATTTCATTTTAGATTTAAAAATGTATCAATTTTTACATCTGACCAAATCGGGTGTATGGAGGCTACATAATACAGTTCCCCGATTTCGATGATTTTTGCCAATGCCCACGAAGGAAGAGAAGGACGTTGTGACCAAGGATGCCTAAGCTAGTTAATTCTTGACAGTGGAACTTAGAAATTTTCATTTCCCCATAGTCCCACCGTACACTCAGCGTCACCTTGTTTGCTTTCCCCTGAAGGTTCAGGAATTTAACCGCGGTACATCATGCGCGTTATAAGCGGCAAGTAAAATCCAAAAGTTCACACGGCAGTCAAGTTTTTACTCGGTCAAGCACTTTCGGTCTCATATTATTCCCAAGAAAATCTATTTGGGGAAAAATTTTTGTTACAACACCGTGATTGCTAAGTTAGTTAGCTCAAACATTTGAAGTCGTTTATGGACAGTCATACGCTTTACGAAGTTCCTCCTAAACGGATCAACTGATGATTAGACTCAATAATAGTTAAATTTATACTTCAATCGAGTTGCCACCTGTCTTTCAATTGGTTATATACTATATAAAATCTTCTGTAATCCTGTCTAAGACTAAACTCAAGCTAAATGGCTGAAGCGATGGCTGATAAAAGGATTTTTCGTTCTCAAAAAAAATTTAGATTTACAATTCCGAGAGCTGCCAGGTGTTCTGAAAATTGGATTTAAATAAGGTAATAAAATAAATTAAATACCACAATTTGGGTAACAAACTAAAGACATATAAGAAAGGCTTAATAAAAAATAATTTTTAAACAGCGTTGCCACCAGTTTGAAATATTTATATAAAAGAATTGATAAAAAATATTGTATACTGTAATACAGAAATTTCCGAAACCTAATATTGGATAAATTATTTAGGAGAGTTGCCACCTGTTTGGAAAATTTTATGCATTTTAACTGCAGAGTTAAATGAATAATACTGAGGGTATTAAACTGAAGCGAAATCGGTAGAAGAACAGGTGAAAATGTTTTTGAGGGATGCCATATTTTCTCTAATTTTAAATACAAAAAAATTGGTAGGATAATTACAATTCTTACTTTGAAGGACTGCAAATACTGTTTCCAAAAATGAAAAAAGGAGCGTAAAAAATCGTTCTACGACAACTGTTCACCTAGTGGTAATTTTATTATTTCCCCAAACTAATCTCTAGGCGGTTGTATAATCTCTCATAAATGTGCTGTGACGCAGAATTTATTGTTAAAAAATGCATGATTATTGATTACTTAAGTATTTTAGTGGAAAAGAACGCATGAAAAAATTGCCAGCGAAAATTTCTTGCTGTACACATGTCGACGTCCTTCTTTTTTCTTTGTACTTTTTTTAAATGAGCTTTCACTTGACCTTCACAATTTCATGTTAATGAGTTGAGCTATTTTTAAATTCAGTCGCGAGAAATGAAAAAGTTTTCTTTTATTTAAAATAAACTTATTTGTGATGTCGAAAAGTATATAATACCAGCTATGTTTTTGGCTGTTTATGAATGAGTTATAGACACGTGCCTTTCAAGTGGTTTTTGAGTTTTATTTAACAAATAAATAATTAATAATTATTTAAAAATATAGTTCCAAGCCTTCAAACCAAAGAGGAATATAAAACTTTGCAAGTATTCTTCATTTTTAAATTACATAGTAGTAAGCAGTGCGTATTACCATTCGGAACATTCAGAGTTCGAGTCCTCATGACCCGACTACAATTCAAAATTGTATAATATTTTTTTATTTAATTACAGCCGCCTCTCGACTTCGACTGTCAAGGCCTCCGAAAGTATTTTTGAAAGAAAAGTTCGTCATTTAAATCCTTCTGCCGCCTGAAGCCGTCTTTGAATAAACTATAAATCTCACCATTTTGTTGAAAATACATCAAGACGCACACCACAAATTATAGGAGGAGCTCGGCGAAATGTCGCTTCTGCGCTTACAAAGCACCCCTTATATTACAGATACAATATAATAATTAATAAGAAAAAACCCATTTGATATTATGCAACCAATTATCGAACAATCAGGTCAAATCAATCAACCTTTCAATCACTAGTGAGGTGTTTTATCAAAATAAATTGGTTTATAGTCATTAGCTAAATAACTGTCAACTGTGTTACAGGCGGTGGAGGTGAGAAGTTGAATGAAGATAACTACTAACGAGAAAAAAAAAAGAAAATTAACAGACTGGGCCACATAATTATGACAGTGACTGATGTCTGATCGCAAAATTTGTGTCTGTATGTATGTAAATATTATAAAATAAATTGAATGTAAGATTGTCAGACAAAAATTCATTGCCAAAATAGTTTAAAAATAAATTTGCAGAGAGCGTAAAGAACAACAAATTGAGTACATTTACTTGCATGCATACATACATATATATGTATATGTACATATTTGTTGACCGTAACATAGAAAATTGTGCGTGTAAGAGCCAAAAAATAAAAAAAAAATAAAAAAATTTTACTATTTGTTTACAAAAGCAATAAAAAAAGAGTAGGGGTACCCAGATGCGTTTCGCAAAACTAAAAGAAATAGTGAAAAAATTTAAAAAAAATTCGAAATTTTGTATGGCAACATTTTAATTATTTGCTTTACATCATAAGTTTTGTTTATTTTTTAAGATAATATTTGTTTCAAATCTGTTTTTGGACAATATCAAGATATCCCGCTGTGAAAATCTCCATCATCAGTACTAGAATGAAGCAGTCCAGGCGAAAAATCAACCAAAGCGGTTGAAAAAATTAATTTAATTTATGGGCCCGATACTGTAAACGAACGTGTAGCCCAAGAGTGGTTTGTTGGGTTCCGTTCCGGTAATTTCTATGTCAAAGATGCACCACGCGTCGGAAGGCCTCTCATCGAAAATTGCAATAAAATCATGGAAATAGTGGAAGCAGACCGTCACGTGAGCACTTATTTAATTGCTGAAGAGCTAAAGATAAGCCAGAAAACCGTTTGGAACCATTTGCATAACTTTCGATTCAAAAAAAGCTCCATATGTGAGTGCCACACGAACTAACGCAAAAAAAAAAACAAATGGACCGAATTTCCATATGCGAATCGCTGCTGAATCGCAACAAAATCGACCCGTTTCTGAAGCGGATTGTGACTGGCGATGAAAAATTGGTCACTTACAACAACATCGAGCGCAAACGGCCGTAGTCAAAGCTCGGGGAAGCGGCCCAGACGATGGCCAAGACCGGATTGATGGCCGAGAAGGTTTTGCTGTGCGTTTGGTGGGGTTGGC